AAAAAACAACCTGAACTATCTGACTATTCCTATGCATCTAATCGTTCTAGGTATTCCTCAGGGGAAGCTTGAAGGGAACTATGAGGAGAACCATTAAGTCAGGCATTGGAGCAACTGAGGGAAGAAACAGCCAGGTTGTTCTCAACCAGGGTTGCAAACAAACCCATCTCTGCCTGCAGCTCCATCAGGAGGGTGCTTCTTTGAAGGGTATTTGCTGCTGCACGGTTCGCCCCTGCCGTCTCTTCCATGATGTTCTGCATCTTGAGCAGCTTCAGCAGCAGAGACTCCCCCAGCTGACCCACGAGCAGGCCCAGATCACATTGGCTATTGAGGTCCTCTTCTTTCCACTCTTCTTCCACGCTCAACTCCTCCTCTACTTCATCATCTTCCTCTCCTACACTCTCATCCTCGTTGCTTGAGCTCCAATAGTCAGCGTCAGCATTGCCCTCAGCTTTTCTCTGCCTGGGCAGCCAGTACATGCCAAACAGTATCAGAAGCACTTCACAAAGTTCCCAGAACTGCCAGTGGTGGCATAAGGCGAGGATTACGAATACTGCGCTGTTCCCACTCTGCAGCTTGCTCCCCTCCTCGAGCTTCTGCAGCAGCTGCGACATCTCCTACCTCATCATCGCCTCTCGCTCTTTCATGAGGTCCCGGGTGACCTTGTCAGGCTGGTCCCCAACCTGAAGCATGAGCTGTAGGAGGCTCAGCACTGACAGCATGCAAACAATAATGATAGCCGTGGTCTGGAAGGGATGGGAGAGAAGGGGCTCAGCAGGGCTGGGTGCGAGGGAGCTGGTGGCTGGGGGAGAAGGGACAGGAGCCAGAGAGACGTGAGGGTAGGTGGGAGAGGGGGCAATGGAGCTTGGAGGCAGCAAGGGCAGGGTTTGGGAGCGCTGCATGTCCAGGGCTGCAGGCCCCCCCAGGCAGGTGTTTGTGCACAGCTGTCGGGTGCCCAACAGGGCCGCGAGCCCTGGCCAGAGGTGGCGTGGGGACCGTCCTGCCAAGCTCTGCCCATGAGCAGCCCTGGGCTGGGCTTTGCCCCGCGTAGGGGTGCTGACAAGGCAGGGGGCACCACAGGAGGCTCTCCCAGGCCCCAGCCCCTGTGGGGCAGCAGCGTCTCCTGGAGCCACGGGTGCCTGCCTCATCCCCGAAGCCTCTGGGCACTTGCCCTGGCTGGGGCACCTCTGTGCCCAGCCCAAGGCCCTCCCCAGAGGGGCTGCGCCCTCATCCCAGCCTTAGAAACCACCCTGGGGGCTGCCGTTTGTGCCGTGCTTCCTGCAACATATGGTGCCCGAGCAGGGACTTGACCCGAACAGGCTGAGGCCCGCACAGGCCGAGACCTGGACTCGCTGAGACCCGGACTCGCTGAGACCTGAACAGGCCGAGAGCCCGGAGCGGCACCGGGAGACCCGAGATCGAGTTGCTACGGGAGACCAGAGGCGTCAGTGGACAACGGCAGCCGACCCTCAGCGTGTGGCGAGTCGGCACAGAGCAGAGGGGCGGACAGACACCAGGACCCTGCAGCCTGTCAGACGTAACCATGGAGGCAGCAGCGGCTGTGCTGCTTCTCTCTGGCATTCTTTTTTAAGAGGTTTATCTTGCAATGCAAAAAGACTATTCGTCCCCAGATCGGTGTTATAACTATGTTTCTGGATAACATTCCGTGGGGTTGCCACATTCTACAGATTACTAATGACAACTTAGCTCTATTGCAGGGCAGGAGTGCAGAGACACAGATTACACTGCCAAATGCCCACCGGCAGGCTCTTTCACAAACAGCTTCTAAGATTGCAGCTGGCACTGCCTGCAGCCGTATAGCAGACGTTACACTCTCTTTCCTGACTAGTAATCATGTGTCTCATCCATTTGTGGTGAATGGTCAGTGACAAAAAGAGAAGGGGGAGAGTAAGGGGTGACAAAGACAGAAACAGTACCAGGATGCCACTGACACTAACAGCATGGGTAATAGGAGTAGTATAAGTGACACAGGTGACGGTGCGGGGCAGCAGTGAGCGCTGCCATGCTGCGGGGCGCTCTGCCTGCTGCTCGCCCTCACCTGACTGTGCACTGCTGCCGACGGTGCTAGAGCAAAAGGTGAAGACTGCTCAGATGGCAGTGATGAGAGTGCTTGTGTGAAGAAGATGTGTGCTGAATCTGACTTTGTGTGCAACAGTGGTTAGTGTGTGCCAAACAGATGGCACTATGATGGGGATCCGGATTGTGAAAATGGGTCTGATGAGAGTGCTGAGCTGTGTCAACCCAGTGTATCCCCGTGTCCTGGAAATGTGATGGTGAAAAAGACTGTGGCAGTGGAGAAGATGAAGAGAATTGTGGCAATGTGACTTGTAGTGCAGCAGAGTTCACATGCAGTAGTGGGCAATGTATTTCCAAAAGCTTTGTCTGCAATGGTCAAGGTGACCGCTCTGACCATTCGGATGCTCCAATCTTTGGAGCAGTGTGGCCGCGATGTGACAGAGATCCTTATTGCAAGGATGGAAGGGATGAAATTAACTGCCCTTCTTGGACCAGTTCAGATGTGAAGATGGGAACTGTGTCCATAGGAGTAGGCAGTGCAGTGGTGTGAGAGACTGTCTGGATGGCACTGATGAAGCAAACTATAACAATGTTATTCAGTGCTCTGGACCTGGCAAATTCAAGTGTAGAAGTGGAGAATGCATAGATATCAATAAAGTGTGTAACCAGCAGAGAGACTGCAAGGACTGGGGTGATGAGCCCCTGAAGGAATGCAACATAAATGAATGTGACTGTCCAGCTGGGTTTGAGTTTGTAGACAAGAGAAACTGTGGAGATATTGATGAATGCCAAAACCCTGGTATCTGTAGTCAAATCTGTATCAACCTGAAAGGTGGCTACAAATGTGAATGTAGCCGTGGCTATCAGATGAATCCTGCTACAGGAACCTGGAAAGGGCCATACGGCAAAGCAAATTAGATAACTGTTATTTAACTTGTCAGAAGATAAAAAAGAGTGTTTCAACCAGCAGCCATGGGAGGGAAGAATCACTGAACCCCCGATGTGAGGGACTGTACCTTGTTTTACTGACTACTGAAACAACTGTGAGAACTGCAGAAAGGGACCCACGCATCCAGAATAAAAGGACCAGTAACTACTGAAACTTGGAGGGTTGAGTCCGCTCCTGGGAAACTGAAACTCAAGCTAAGGAAGAACTAATATTCTGGCAACAAGGCTCTGCATGAATTAAGGATGCCAAATAAAGGGGACAAGCCTGAAGGGAGGAAAGAGAGAAGGCAAGACCGGGGCAGGACCCTCCACTGCAGTGTACATGGTCTACCGAGGGAGGCAACCCCTATGGGTATTGACTGCCGAGTGAGATGGCCTCGACTGGACTTCTCCCACACTAAGGTCAGGTTGTCCCGAGAAAATAATGTAAGAACCTTTTTTTAACCTATATAAAATTGTGATTCGTTTTCCAGGAGCTGGATCACCCTGACAGGCCGAACGGTAACACAAGCCTGAATCGACTCTGAAAGCAGGCCCAACCCCTTGATTGAAGGCGTTTGCCTATTATGATCCAGCTACATGGGCAGAAGACAGATCCTGGGGCTATAGGACCCCAGTATATATACTTAATAGAATAATTAGGTTATTAGCTTTAATAGAAATAGTTATAAATAAAACCGGAGATGCACTTGGATTAATTGCAAAGCAAAATACCAAGATGAGAACTGCTTTGTATCAAAATTGCCTAGCTTTGGATTATTTACTAGCACAAGAAGGAGAAGTCTGTGGAAAATTTAACTTTAGTAATTGCTGTTTAAAGATTGATTAAAAGGGTGTTTCTTCCTAGTAGCTGATAGAATGTTATGTTCTGGTTTAGGATGAGAAGAATGCTAATAATATGCTGATGTTTTAATTGTTACAGAGCAGTGCTTACACCAAGCCAAGGATGTTTCAACTTCTCACCGTCCTGCCAGCAGGCAGGCTGGGAGGAGGGCCAGACTGCTCTAGGTTAGGCTGGGCATCGGACAGCAGGTGGTGAGCAATTGCATTGTGCATCACTTGTTTCGTACACATTATTACTAGTGGTACTATTATCATCATTATTGTTATTATTATTATTGTTATTATCTTCTTGTTTTTATCTCTACTCACAGGCTTCAGTTTCCCATTTCTTTCTCCCATCCCAGAGAAGGAGGGGGGGGAGGTGAGTGAGCGAGCACAAACCTGGAAGGATATGGAATGGGATTTATTTTCATGGCTGCCTGGTGGACCATGGGTTAAAAGAATGTTATTTTTTTATTGTTATGTGATGTAATTGTTTATACCTTGTATGATACCTTGCCTTACATTATTAATACACCGGGTGATAAATAGAACATAACTTCATTAAAAAGGAAGGAGATATGTCAATTATGATGCTTAAGAATTGGACCCTCCAAAAACAGACTGATGAAATCCAGTTATTAACGACAGAAGAGACACGAATTGTTGATATTAAAAAGAAGATAAGGGATTGTTAGGAATGTTTTAACAATTTGTGTCCATAAAGAACAGTCCTGTCTGCCTCTGGGCGCTGCACTGGCAATTTAATTCTTGAACCACAGATGCAGTGTGTCCCAGTCTCCCCCTCATTCTAGTCAATTTATCAAGTCTTCAGAAAATACTGCTCAAATTTATGAATCTGTTTACTTTTGTTATTCCGGACTTCTATTTCTAACAGTTACAGCCTTTTTTTTGTCTTCTTCGAGATTAACTTAACACTGCTATAGGTGTGACTGTCCCTGTGAATGGCTGGTTGTCGTGGTTTAACCCGGCCGGCAGCTAAACACCACGCAGCCGTTCGCTCACCCTCCCCCCTCCCTCTCTGGGACGGGGGAGAGAAATGGAAAGTGAAGCCCGTGAGTTGAGATAAAGACAGTTTAATAAGACAGGAAAATAATAATAACAAAATAATAATAACAATAATAACAATAATAATAATATGGTGATAATAGGGAAATAATAATAATATGTACAAACAAGTGATGCACAATGCAATTGCTCACCACTCGCTGACCGATGCCCAGCCTAACCCCGAGCAGTCCGGCCCCCTTCCCCCGGCTAGCCACCCCTATATATTGTTTAGCATGACGTCAGATGGTATGGAATACCCCTTTGGCTAGTTTGGGTCACCTGTCCGGGGTCTGTCCCCTCCCAGCTCTTACTGCACCCCCAGCCTGCCCGTTGGCAGGACAGAGCAAAAGGCTGAGATGTCCTTGGCTTAGTATAAGCACTGCTCTGCAACAATTAAAGCATCGGGGTGTTATCAGCACTCTTCTCATCCTAAGCCAAAACACAGCATTCCACCAGCTACTAGGAAGAAAATTAATTCTGTGCTAACTGAAACCAGGACACTGGTGAAGAATGTTTTAATTACTGGTGAAGTGTCAATAAGAAAGCTATTTGTGTTTGTATGAAGTCGTTGATGTCTGGGGGTTTCAGAACAACTAGTGACTGTTATGGGATACTATGCAAGCCTCTGATATCTGGCCAGGTGGCCAAGAGATAAAGAAGAAGAAGAAAAAAGAAGCTGAAGGACGGCTGGGAGACAAGACCTGCAGGGGATGTTCTATAAACTTGATACGGTGCCAAAGGAGTACAAAGGGGAAGGATGAGAAAAAAACTTGGAGAGGAAGACTACGAGCCTTCAGCATGAAAGACCCCTAGAGACCCCCAGAGGGACCACCGGAGACTGATGCGCATGCTCCAGTAGGAGGGACTGGACCCCGGAAGCTAATTATAATAACCTTTTTTTTTTTTTTAGAAGTAGTAATGAATATGTATTAGTCTAGGAGCATAAAAATCAGCTACTTGTTGTAACTGGTGTGCGTCCTGGTGGAGCAGAGACTCCCGGTGCACCCAGCGCTCTTTGCTTACCTCTATTCTTTTAATAAATCCTATTTTTTTTTTAATCCTATTTTGAAGATTGAGCCATTTCTAACACACCCACTCAATGCCATGCCTCTTGGTCCAGGAGGTGACAAGATTGTTTCAGAAATGACTCCCATTGTCAGACTCAATTCTCTCTGGTGTACCATGATGCCACAGCACTTGCCTTTCCAGGCCCAAGATAGTGCTTCGGGCCGTGGCATGGTTTACAGGGTATATTTCCAGCCACCCAGTATTTGCTTCTACCATGGTGAGTATGTACCGTTTGCCTTGGAGGGTACGTGGGAGTGGTCCGATATAGTTAATTTGCCAGGCCTTACCATATTGAAACCCTAGCCATCTCCCCCTGTTCCAGGGAGATTTTACCTTCATGGCTGTCTTGATTGCAGCACAGGTCTCACACTCATGGGTAACCTGTGTGATGGCCTCAGTGGTCAGGTCCCCGCCTCGATCACGAGCCCATCTGTAAGTGGCATCCCTCCCCAGATGTCCTGATGTTTCATGGGCCCATCGAGCTACAAACAGCTCACCCTTACATTCCCAGTCCAGGTCCACCTGAGCCACTTCAATTTTTGAAGCTCGATCCACCTCTGTGTTGTTCTGATGTTCTTCCGTAGGGCGACTCTTGGGCACGTGGGCACCTACCTGACGTACCTTTACACCCATTTTTTCTACCTGAGCAGCAATATCTTGCCACAGGGAAGCAGCCCACGGAGGTTTACCTCTGCTCTGCCAGTTGCTCGGTTTCCATTGCTGCAACCACCCCCGCAGAGCATTTGCCACCATCCATGAGTCAGTGTGGAGGTACAGTGCCGGCCAATTTTCTCCTTCGGCAATCTGTAGGGCCAGTTGTACGGCTTTCATTTCTGCATACTGACTCGACTCCCCTTCCCCTTCCACGGCCTCCACAACTCACCGTGTGGGACTCCACACAGCAGCTTGCCATTTCCGACGGCTCCCTACCACACGGCAGGATCCGGCAGTGAACAGCACCTGCTGCTTTCTGTCTTCTGGCAACTCTCGGTGGTGATGGTGGTGCCCCTTTGGCACGCGATACCTTTTTGTTGGCACTCTGAAATCCCTGCCCTCTGGCCAGTCCATGATCTCTTCCAGGATTGCTTGGCGGTTGGGTTCAAGCGGGTTCTAGCCCGCTGAGAAATTAATGCTACCCACTTACTCCAGGTAGCAGCAGTTGCAGGGTGTGCAGTGGGGATTTTCCCTTTGGACACCCAATGGAACACAGGCAGCCGTGGGGCCCAGAGGAGCTGTGCTTCCTTTATTGTGTCACACCCCATGGTGTGGGACCCCCCTTTGGTTAGGATACCCCTGTGGTTAGCTCAGCCGCCCTGGTGATGTCCCTTGGTCTCTTTGCCCACCCCCAGCCTGCTGGCTCTGGGGGTTTGTAGGGCGTCCTGCTGCGGTGCCAGCACTGCTCAGCAGCAGGCACAGCCCCGCTGTGATACCAGCGCTGTGCTAGCCCCAAGCGCAGAGCCCAGCACTGTGGGGGCTGCTTCAGGGTCTCTAACCCCCACCCAGCCCCATCCCCATCCCACCCCATCCCCGCTGCTGCGGCTCCTCCGCTCCTCCAGGGGGCGCCCCCCCCCGGCCGTGCCTCCGCCTCCCCGCGCCTTCCGCCGCCGCTCCCCGCACCCCGCGCAGCCGCCGCCCGCCGAGCCCCCAGGCCCGCCCGCCGCCCTCCGCCGCCCCGCGCCCGGCGCCATGCCCAAGAACAAAGGTGAGGCCCCCCCGGGTCCTTCCCTTCGCCGCCATCCCCCGGCCCCGAGCCCCGAGCCCGATGCGGGGGAGCGGGGCCGCCCGGGGCCTGCCACGTGTGGGGCTCCTGCGCCGAGCCCGGCCGGGCCCAGAGGCTGGGGGGGGTTGGGGGGGTAAAGGGGGGGCTGTGGGGGGCTGGGGTTTGGGATTTGGGATTTGGGGGTAGGAAGGGTGGTGAGGGCCGGTGGGGAGCTGGGAGAGAGGAGGAGCCACTCCTCACAGGATTTGTGTCCCAGGCCCTTCACAAGTAATAACACATGCTGGTTTCTCCCCTTTTAAAATGTAGGAAAAGGAGGTAAAAACAGGCGACGAGGTAAGAATGAGAATGAATCAGAAAAAAGAGAGCTGGTGTTCAAGGAGGACGGGCAAGGTGAGTTCTCAGCTACGTTTTTTTCAGCGCCATTGGTTTCAGTCAGGTGTGTAAGTGACACACACAAAACATCTGGATGTCTGGGAAATACAGAGTTATTCTGGAAGGAAAAAAGGGATTCTCACTGGGGTTGTATTGGAACTCTAAATTACAGACTGAGAGTAGAAGGGTGACATTAGGAAAAGGGAGATGTTAAATAGCTTCACCACTTAAGAATGAAGCTTGCTCCTCCCTGACATTATTTGATGTGTAATACAGCACGTATGTAAATGTTCTCTGGGGATCCCTTGGGCTGCTCTGCGTGAGGGGCTGTAAGCACCCAGCCTAGCTGCTCTTTCAAGCAGTTGCTGGCTGTCCCTTGGATGCGTGGTTCTGCTCCGTTTTATACCAACTGCAGCGTTTCCTGGGTCCTTCTCTGAGATCTCTGAAGTCACTGGCTGGAAAGTAACCTCAGTGTTCTTCCACTTCCCCTCTTGGCTTAGATGAATTGCCTGCTGGGTTGGAGGTGTGGGATGCTCAACAGGTATTAAAATGGGAACTATCAGAAGGTCCTTACTTGGACAGGTTCAGGCAAAACAAGCAACAGGAGTATTCAGCTGGAGCATGATGGCTGGGGTTCCCCTGTCCTCTGCCTTCTGGTGACAGTGATCTCACCTGCCTTTTGGTTTACCCTGGCCTGCGTGTCACACTCTTGTAGTGGCTTGCATATACGTGAGTGCTTCCCCAGCTGAGCAAGAAGAGCTAAGGCTTGTTAGAAATACTGGCAGAGTGCTGATCTTAAATGGCTGTAAAGACAGCACCATCTTAATGCATTTTTTTAACATTTTGCTAAAATTCTGGGACAGTTGTAAGTAAAACAAGTTGATTTTGATGCGTCTATAAAACTCAAAGTCTGTTTCAACTCCCAAGCAAAATCTGTTTAATGAAATCCACTCCGTTTTTAATATTATGATGAGGTTTGTTGCACTGTCTAGGTTGTGCTATGGCAAGGTTGTAGAATATTGAAATACAGCTCTGGCTAATTAAGACAATTCCATTTCCTGGCAAGTGTGGGTGGTCAGAGAATGTTATAATTCTCAGAAGCTATATTTCTTTCAGTTAAGTGGTGATATGTTACACTGCAAACTTTAATACTATGAGTAAAGAACTTCAGTAGTGATTTCTGCATCTGAGTGAGGGAAGGAGATTAAAAATAATGTGAGAGATGGCAAGGATGGGAGGGATGCTGGAGAGAAGCTTCCACAGCTGAAGCCTGGTAAGTATGGGGGTGTCTTTCAGACAGTTCCTGACATCATCAAAAATTGTCCTTGCAAGCAGAATGTGTTTGGTTTTTTTTTCTGTAGAAGGGATTCAGAGTGTTGGCGGGATACACAGAACGTGCCACTTCCTCTTCTTCCCTTGGTAGTAACACATGATTTTGTCAGGACAGGAACTGTGTTGCTATAATTAACTTAAACTCTGAGCATAACCTGGTAACTGTAAGAATCATCTTCAGTAAGCATGTAATGAAAGCAAAAGCATGAATACAACCAAGAAGGACCAATGTTTGAAAGCAAAAGCATGAATACAACCAAGAAGGACCAATGTTTGCAAACATTAATGTCAACAACGAAATTCCATCAGCCTGTGTGGCTGAATAATTGTCCTCTCAGGAGTTCGTGTTTGCTGAATTGTTACAGGGACAAAAGTTACCACTTGTTTTATGAAGCTGTTCTTTTATTGTAGCTTTGCTCAAACTTCCTGTCTCTTTCAGAATATGCCCAGGTGATCAAGATGTTAGGCAATGGAAGACTGGAGGCATTGTGTTTCGATGGTGTGAAGAGGTTATGTCATATCAGAGGGAAACTAAGAAAAAAGGTAATTTGGAAGCATTGCAATAGAAAAGAGTGGCATTATGCATGATAAGCAGTTGTAAAAAGAAATCTGTGTATAGCTCTTTACAAAATACAGTTCGTATTTCTAACTGGCACGGGCTGCCCAGAGAAGCTGTGGCTGCCCC